CTGTGAATAGTAAACAGCCATCAGTGTGCTAATGATCCATTGTTAGGCTGATGGTCCTTCTTGAGCATGTGATCAGCTGGTTTTGGTTGTCAGCAGCAAACTGGTTGATCCACTCTGAGAAGGTGCTATTTAAGAGCCTGAGCTGAAAACAGCACCTCAGACTGAGGAAGTCTCTTGGATGAGAGACAAAACGTTTCTATATTTTTTTGCTTTGGTTTGTTTTTTGTTTTTTTGAATGTCCAGAGGACCAGATTGAACTTTTTTGGATTTTTCTACCTGGATTATTGAGCATGCATCAGGATACTCCTCAACTCCTTCACCGTCGCATGTAGTTTCTCTGTTTCATCCGAGCATAAGGACAGACCGTTCTCATTCTGTGAAACATCTAGTTTAACTCGGTCAAACTCCACTCTGAGGCCTGTGGTAGTGTTAGCAAGCTCTGCTCAGACTGCTTTCAGTTTGCTCTTAATAAAAGTAAAATCATCTGTCAGAGCCACTCATCGCTATGACTTATCCTAATAATCGATATAACTTCTGATTTAATTGAAGCCAGATTATCTGTCCCTACAGAGCTCGGAGAATGTGGGGGCGACGCACCTGCAGACTTATTTGCTGTACTCACTGCCTCTCCATCATGACAGCCTGAGGCCGCGGCAGCAGGCCATGCGGGAAAAGAGACTGACACCTTAGACTTCTTTAGCTTGTAGGCCATATCACAAGTTTGTTGATTCAGTTATGTGGCAATACCAGTCTCAGAAACAAAATCCAGCTTGAAGGTAGTGAGGATATAATCATAAAAGGAAACTTTTTAGTGGGGCTGACAGGAGCTCAGTCGAGACGCAGTTCACCTGTCCGCCACCATGTTTCTCCTTCTATTTTATTGTTTTGCCTAACTGTTTTGTTTCCCTTCCCTTGACTCTACAAGTGCCTGTTAGTACTTGCCAGGCCAGCACTGTAAATAAGAATTAGTTCTTAGTGTTTATGCCCAGTTAAATAAAGGTGAAATGAAAATGAAATCTTACAAAGTGTTTTCAGAGGTATTTCTGCTGTGATTTCATTCAGATATCGACGAGTGTGAGACAGCGATCCACAACTGTGGTCCTCAATTTGAGTGCCAAAACACCCAGGGCTCTTTTCGTTGTCTTCCAAAGATTAAGTGTGCCGCTGGCTTTGTCCAGGATGCTCTTGGAAACTGTATGGGTAAGATCTGTATTATTTTACAAAGGTGTTTTATGTATCAGTATTGTTAACTCACCTTCCAATTGAAAGACACTAAGGTAAAAAAATATCAGATCAAGCATTATAGCAACATAAAAATGATATAACTATCATAAAGGCACAATAAAGATTAAGATTGTTCAGTGTTTTGACAAGTTTTTATCTTTTATGACTGTCTTGTTAAATTTTCTTTATATTATTGGGAAATATCAAAATGTTCACAGTTTATAAATTATTTATTTTAAAATTAAAAAAAATTCCACCCCTAAGATTTCAATTTGTCACACTAAAAAGTTTGCACAGGAATTAGACCATATTGAAAAGACGTGTTTAAATCTTTAAATCACATTAGCAATAGCACCTCTTCAGTGAGGAAGTTTCTAGTTTAAAGAAGACATTTGCTGCTAAAAGGAAAGATGGATTTCTTTGTTTGGAACCTGGAGAGTACTATTTGTAAATTTTCAGAGACGGAAAGAGAAATGCTTTGTAGAGCTGGTTAGGGTAAAATCAAAAGGTTTTACCATGAACACACACAGTTTCAGCGCAACTTTAAATTTGGGAGAAAAACGTGATGTTTAATTTATGGCAGCACGACAGCTCAGTGGTTAGCACTGTTACCTCACAGCAAGACGGTCCAATCCCCGGTTGGACGTGGGGTCTTTCTGTATGGAGTTTGCATGTTCTTCTCCTGCTTGTGTGGGTTTTCTCTTGGTACTCCAGTTTCCTCCCACAGACCAAAAACATGCATGGTTGGCTGCTTTCATGTCCAAGCCTCCCTTGCAAAAGAGATCTGTGATCTCATTGGGATTGGCCTGGTTAAATAAATAAAGGTAATACAGTTTTTAGAGATAAATCTGAGTTGTCAGGTTAGTTTCCCTGGAATTGGACTCAACCAACAAAAAATTTAATTGTGCATCTCTGACATCCATATCTGCTTTGTAAAACTTATAAATAGGGATTATCTAGTGGGGTTTTAAGTGATGTTTTGTTAAGTAGAAAAAAAAAGTAGGTTCAATCATCCAGGGAAATAAATCACACACAAAAAAAAAAAACAGTTGGCAGGCCTGAGACTGCTGAAGTCTTGGATGAAAGGCAAAATATTTATTCCAAGAAGAAACTGTCCAGATGACATGATTCAAATTTTGTGTGTTTTGTTAAAATAGTCAACAGTAGTTAGTACCATACAAGCAGTGATATGAATCACAGAACACAGAAGATGAAGAAAAGAGCTAGCATCCAGGCTATACTGTTGACTAGCCAAACTGGAGCCCTTTTTATAGTGTTTTTCAGGCCTTTAAAACCATCTCATCAGTTATGGAATCGTGTGTCTTGTGTTTTCAGACATAAATGAATGCCTTACCCATACAAGCCCGTGCCAACGAGGGCAGATCTGCATTAACACTGTGGGCTCATATATCTGTCAGAGAAACTCTCTAAACTGTGGTCGAGGCTACCACCTCAATGACGAGGGCACGCGCTGTGTTGGTATGACAGAATAATCCAGCCTTATTGGATCTTCACGCCTCTTATCTTTTTTGCCTAACTGAGGAAGATGTTGTGGTGCTCTCAGTAGTTTGTGTATTTCTCTGCAGATATTGATGAGTGTAAAGGCATTCAGGAAGTCTGTGCAGGTCATGCTTGCATCAATCAACTTGGATCGTACCGCTGTGAGTGTGAAACGGGATACAACTTCAACAGCCTCATTCGTGTTTGTGAAGGTAAGCAACGGGTCGATTTAATGTTCATTTAGCTAAATCTAGCTGTTCCACTATGTACAGCAAATATTTTAGCTAACGTTTGAAGTCCAAATGTAAAAGTCAGGTCATAGCTTGAGTTTTTTCCCCCTCTTTTTCCCTTTTTGAAATTTTAGATATAAATGAGTGCAGACACTACCCAGGCCGCCTGTGTGCTCATAAGTGTGACAATACCCCAGGCTCCTACAAATGTAGCTGTACCACAGGCTTCAAGCTGGCCAGTGATGGCAGAAATTGTGATGGTGAGAAAGTTATTTGTGTACCATAAGTTGAAAAGTGGGTAAATAATCTAGGAATGAAAAAAATGACAAATGGGTTCAACAAAGTTGTCAGGTCCTCTGGACAGTTTCTTTTTTGTTGAAACGTTTCATCTTTTATCCACAAGATTTCATCAGTCTGAGAATCCGCAACAAACTCAGTCATAAATAGTGCCTTCACAAAGGTTGACCCACTATGAGAAGGTGCTATGTAAAAGTAAATGGTCTGTTTACTACTGTATACTGTATAGAAAAAACTCAAAGTGCTTTACACTACAATCTGTGCTCTCATTTATTCATTCATACAGCACTCTTAACTAGATCTCTACAAAGACTAAATCAGTGCTTTAGATCACATTCATGCTCTTAATAGGATATATGCCCACTTTGAGGACCCACACAAACCACCTAACACCATACTCGCCATCGGAAAAGGAGTTTTTGAGCATGACCTTAGCAGAAGTAAGGAGAACTTTCAGAAGGATTAATCCTCATAAAGCCACTAGCCCAGACAACATCCCAGGGAAGGTGCTGAGCGACTGTGCCGATCAGCTCTGAGAGGTGCTGGATGATATATTTAACTCCTCCCTCACCTTGGCAACTGTTCCCACTTGCCTGAAGATCACCACCTTCATCCCAGATCCTAATAACTATATAGTGAATAGACTGAATGACTATGGGCCAGTAGCCCTCACCCCGATAGTCACTAAATGCTTTGAAAGACTGGTCATGGCCCACATCAAAGCTACCATGGACATCAGTAAGGACCCTCACCAGTACACATACCACAAATATCGATCAGCAGAAGATGCCATCTCCTCTGTGGTCTACATTGCTCTCCAACTGGAACAGACAGACTCCTATGTCCATGTGCTTTTTGTGGACTTTATGTCCACCTTCAACACGATGATTCCCCAGACCCTGATAGGCAAATTACTCACACAAGGACTATGCCCCTCCCTATGCAACTGGGTCCTGGACTTCTTAACCAACAGACCAGTCTGTGAGGATCCACAACTTCTCCTCCTCCACCATAACCCTCAGCACTAGCTCCCCTCAGGCCCGTTTATTGTGCCCCCTTCCATTCACTCTGCTCACATAGGACTGTGCTCCTAGCCTCTTACCCATCCAGGCTGTGATATTGTAAAGTTTGCAGATTATACAGCGGTGGTTGGATGCATCACAAACAATGATGAGTCCAGCTACAGGCAGGCGGTGGAACACTTGGAGAGTTGGTGCAGGAAGAACAACCTTCACATCAATGTGAAGTAGACAAAGAGATGGTCATGGACTTCAGATAAAGCAACCCCCCACTCCCCGAACATAGGAGGATCTGTGGTGGAAGTGGTCTCCAGCTACAAGTACTTGGGTGTACACATGAATGACAACCTCAGCTGGAGCAACAACACCACCAGTCTGATCGAGAAAGTTCATCAGAGACTCTACTTCCTCAGGCGGCTGAGATGAGCTGGTCTGGGAAGCTCAGTCCTCACCTCCTTCTACAGGTGTGCAGTGGAGAGCATCCTGTGCTCCAGCATCAACGTGTGGCATGGAGGCTGCACAGCTGCAGAAAGAAAAGCTTTGCAGAGAGTGGTGAAGGCTGCACAGAAGATGTTGGAGTCAGTCTCCCCACCATCACAGACATCTACACCTGCAGATGCAGGAAGAGGGCCACCTACATCATGAAGGACCCACTCACCCAGCACACACACTTTTTGCCCCACTCCCCTCAGGCAGAAGGTTGCGGAGCATTTGGTGTAGAATCACTAGACTGAGGAACAGCTTCTATCTACCCTGAAGCTTTTAGACTTGTGAATATCTAATCAGGATTATCATGTAAGGAAGAAAAAAAAAAAAAAAAAAAAGGAAAAATCACTGTAAAGCCACTTTAAGTGCTGATATGTCTTATCTGTGCTGCTGATTATCCATGCTGCTGATCTCATGCAGCTGATTACTGCATCTCATGCTGCTGTATTCATTCATACCTATCTGCTCACCAAAGACTCATATTCGGGCTGCTGTTGTTATGCCGTATCGTTTTACTTTATGAGTGTTTAGAGGATATCTTACATCTTTTAGCATGCTGTTTGGCATTAGTTTAGCGTATATCTTGATCCTTATTTACAATTTCTTTTTATACTTTATACTTTATATTTTGCAATTTTGGGGTGTAACTGTGACCCTGTGTACATAATTTGGCCAACTGTGTTGTTTTTAAAGTGCTTTATAAATAAAGTTGTATTGTATAATTTCGTTCCACCTCATGTACCACATGTGGTGGAAACAACAATAAAAGTAACTTGAAATTGAACTTGAACTTGAAAGACAAAATGTTTCAACAAAAAGAAACTATCCAGAGGATCTGACTTAACTTTGTTGTATTTTATACCTGGATTATTGAGCATGAATCACAATTTTGGGTTGTTGTTGTTGAGAATTGGTTGTTTTTGTTTGATCCCTGAGTCATATTATAATGTTCCATATACATTTCTGTCTTTGCCTTCAGTAAAAATCTCTTTGTACAAGGTAGTGTGCTGTAACTGACAACATATGAATTTATGCCTATAATTGAGCTAACAAGTAAACACGAGTGAGACAAAGTTCCCAGTGGTCCACAATCATATTTTGTTTTTTGTAGATCTGAATGAGTGTGAGAGCAACCCATGCAGCCAAGAGTGTGCCAATGTGTACGGCTCCTACCAGTGTTACTGTCGCCGTGGCTACCAGCTCAGCGACATTGATGGCATGACTTGCGAAGGTAAAAATTAACTATTTTAACAAAATAATTAATTTATTCAACCTTTATTTATGCACGTTATTCTCATTGAGCCACAATGAATCATTTACAAGAGAGACCTGTTTAGCAAAATATTATTAATTATTAATCTTTTTTTTTTCAATGATTGTCAAACAAAATAAATAGGGAAGTTATTTTATTGTCATTATTTTTTTGTTGTTTAAATGTGTTGGTGATTCTTCCAGATATAGACGAATGTGCCCTTCCCACCGGAGGGCACATTTGCTCCTATCGCTGTCACAACACCCCGGGCAGCTTCCACTGCTCCTGTCCCACCAACACCTACACTTTGGCAGTAAATGGGCGCAGCTGCCAAGGTTAGCTGCTTAATGTGATATCACATATACTTTTTGCAGAACTATCCAAAATATTTTGCACAGGTTATACTACAAGCGCTTTGAAATGTCCTGCTACTTTTTGCAGATGTTGATGAATGTGTTACGGGACAACACATATGTTCAGAAAGTGAAAGCTGCTTCAATATACAAGGAGGATACAGATGTCTGTCTTTTGACTGTCCGAAAAACTACAGACAATTTGGACAGACGTGAGTATTTGAACTGTAATTACGTGTGAAACTGACTGCCAGTTGACAAACTTAAAACAAAAGTTCAGATCCTTTGAAATGGGTTTGGTGGATAGGTTTTGAACAACTAATAGCTTACCTGTCGTAGATAGCACTTTAAATGATCTCAGTTTGGAGAAGTAGTTTAATTCTGACAATGACGAGCTAATGGTTAGTCTGAGCACAGCAAAGATCCAACAGAATTGCAGCCAGCTTTTCATAAAATTCAGTTATTATTTGCAATAGTGGCAGCAGCTTGTAGCTGTAGCATTTTTGGCAGGAATATCATTATCACTTCTGCCTAAATTCAATTCAATTTTTAATTCAGTTTATTTATATAGTGCCAAATCACAACAGAAGTCATCTCAGGGCACTGAACATAAATATTCATATATAAAAACAATAATTTAACATTATTTATCTGAGGAGCAGACTGCTTTGAGTGTAACTCCATCGCAGAACTCTCATCTTGAGCAAGCATGAAGGCGACAATGAAAAGGAAAAACTCCCTCATGAGGAAGAAACCTTTAGCAGAACCAGGCTCAGGACAAGTGGACATCTGCTTCGACTGTCTGGGTTTGGTAGGAACAGAAACACAATGGCAGGTCAAGAATCACATGTTAAGATAGAAATAGTATCAAATGAAAACTGTTCAATTTTAACAATTAATTTAAGGAAATGAGGTCAATTTGTCCTCTAGTTGTCTAAGCTTGACAAGCCAACCTAATTATAGGATTTATCAAAAAGGAAAGTCTTAAGCCTAGTTTTTACAACGGGATAATGTGTCAGCCTCACAGACAGAAACTGGAAGGAGAAATCCTACACAAGACAGGCTCTAGAGCAATGTGGATATCCTAACTGGGCCTTCCTGAAAGCAGAGAAGAAACCCAAACAGGACTCCAGTCAGCCAACAGGTGAAAAGGAGGAACCCAGACCAGTGGTCATTCCGTATGTTGAGGGAGTATCAGAGAAACTGAGACGTTTATTTTCTAAACACAATGTCCCAGTGGCTTTTAAACCCCAAAATACATTACGGCAAAGACTGGTTCATCCCAAAGATCCAGTCCCCCGGCACAAACAGAGTAATATTGTGTATGCTGTTCAGTGTCAGGAGGGTGATCAGTCTTACATCGGGGAAACAAAACAGCCACTGGCCAAAAGGATGGCCCAGCACAGAAGATCAACATCATCATGCCAGGACTCTGCGGTCTACACTCATCTCCAGGCCAGCGGTCACTCTTTCAAGGATGAAGATGTTCACATCCTGGACAGAGAGGAACGATGGTTTGAGAGAGGAGTAAAGGAGGCCATCTTTGTGAAAAGAAACCGTCCATCATTAAACAGGGGTGGAGGCCTCCGGGTTCAACTGTCCCCCTCTTACAATGCTGTGATTGCTAGTATCACTCAGCCCTCTGTGAATAGTAAACAGCCATCAGTGTGCTAATGATCCATTGTTAGGCTGATGGTCCTTCTTGAGCATGTGAGCAGCTGGTTTTGGTTGTCAGCAGCAAACTGGTTGATCCACCCTGAGAAGGTGCTATTTAAGAGACTGAGCTGAAAACAGCACCTCAGACTGAGGAAGTCTCTTGGATGAGAGACGAAAAGTTTCTACATTTTTTTGCTTTGTTTTGTTTTTGTTTTTTTTGAATGTCCAGAGGACCAGATTGATCTTTTTTGGATTTTTCTACCTGGATTATTGAGCATGCATCTGGATAAACTGGAAGTTGGTTCCACAAGAGAGGAGCCTGATAACTGAAAGATCTGCCTCCCATTCTGCTTTTGGAAAATCTAGGGACTGCGAGTAAACCTGCAGTCTGAGAGCAAAGTTCTCTGTTAGGAAAATATGGAACAATAAGATCTGTAATATAAGATGGATCCAGGTTGTTGAGAGCTTTGTAGGTTAGAAGTAAGATTTTGAATTCTATTCTGGATTTGACAGGGAGCCAATGGAGAGAAGCAAAAACTGGAGAAATATGATCTCTCCCACTAACTCCGGTTAAGACTCTGGCAGCAGCATTTTGGATCAACTGAAGACGTTTTAAAGAAGTATTTGGACACCCAGATAATAAACCATTGCAATAGTCCAGTCTAGACGTGACAAATGCATGGACCAGTTTTTCTGCATCATTTTTAGATCAGATGTTTCTAATGTTAGTGATATTACGCAGGTGGAAGAAGGAGGTTCTAGTAACGTTTTTAATGTGGGGGATAAAAGACATGTCCTGGTCAAAAATAACACCAAGATTTTTAACATTAGAGCTGGAGGACAGATTAATGCCATCTAAGGAGGGAGAAAGACTGAAAAATTAATTCCTAAGGTGCTCAAGTCCAAAAACCAAAACCTCAGTCTTGTCTGTTCAACAGGAGAAAATTAAGGGTCATCCAGGTTTTTATGTCTTTAAGACATGCTTGTAGTCTAAGTAACTGATTGGATTCATTGGGTTTCATGGACAAATATAACTGTGTGTCATCAACATAACAATGAAATTTATCCCATGCTGTTTAATAATTTTAACCAAAGGAAGCATATATAAAGTAAAGAGTATTGGTGCTAGCACTGAATCCTGAGGAACTCCATGACTAGCTTTGGTTTATGATGAAGATTCATTATTTACATTTACAAATTGGAATCTATCAGATAAATATGATTTAAACAAATTTAGAGCCGTTCCTGTAATCCCAATATCATATTCAAGTCTCTGTAGTAAAATATTGTGATCAACTGTATCAAATGCAGCACTGAGGTCTAACAGGACCAGTATAGACACAAGTCCATTGTCAGAGGCCATGAAAATATCATTAGTGACTTTCACTAGTGCAGATTCAGTGCTATGATAAGCTCTAAAACCTGACAAACTCTTCAAACAGATTATTTCTTTGTAGCTGATCACATAACTGACCTGCAACTATTTTCTCTAGAACTTTTTAGATGAAAGTTAGATTAGATACATTACATACCATCCATCCATCCATCCATTATCTTTACCCGCTTATTTCATTTTGGATCACGGGGGTCGCTGGTGCCCATGTCCAGCAATCACTGTGCGAGGGGCAGGGTACACTCTGGACGGGTCGCAAGTCCATCACAGGGACACATAGAGACAAACAACCATTCACTTTCTCACTCACACCTAGGGACAATTTAGAGTTACCAGTCAGCCTAACATGCATGTTTTTGGTCTGTGGGAGGAAACCGGAGCACCCGGAGAAAACCCACTCATGCACGGAGAGAACATGCAAACTCCACCCAGAAGGCCCCTGGACCGGGGTTTGAACCAGAGACCTACTCGCTGAGAGGCAGCAGCTCTACCAGTTGCGCCACCGTGCTGCCCACATAACATACCAATGTAATGCAAAAATGATGAAGGTATATAAAGGTTTATCAAAGTGTTTGCATGAACTATCTCCACATTTTTGAGTCTGAAGTGGATATAAGATGACAGTATGACTGTAAATGTGTAAGTCCCTTACTGACTAGCCATTAGCTTGTCAGTCTGATGAAAAATAATCTCCTTTTCTCCCAAATGAGGTTGCTCAAAAGGCTGTGCGCAACAGATAAAATATTAATTGTTAATTTTTCCATAGGACCACACTTCAAAAGATGTGAACTACTGTATCTATATTGGTTTTATTAAAAGTCCTTATGTATCTCATAGACCAACATAGAAGATAACTTGGTTCAGTTTCAAACTGTTAAAGCTTTTAAAAACCATCATTATTCATATGTTTCAGTCAATACCCTGCATGTTCAGGTTGTTCCTTACTGGAATGATATCAGACCAGGTTTGGCTGGAGCATGTTCTTTTGTGTTAGAATAACAACATGCTCATTGATATTTTCTTCAAAGTTTTAACTGAGACTTTATCTTCATTCTTGTATGGAGGCATCACCAACAGAACTTTTTGCATGCATCCACAGATTGCACCATAACAGACATTATATTTATTTCTTTGCATGCTGTGCATGACTAGTAAAATTTACATTTGTCCTCTTTTTCTTTCTGTCCATCTTTGGTTCTGTTCCATCTCTTCTCTCTTTCTCTCTTTCAGTCGATGCGAACGCTTGCTTTGCAATGAGCCTGAGTGCCTGACCATGCCTCTGAGAATAACCTACCACTACCTCACACTCCCCACCAACATCCCTGTCTTGACTGTCATCTTCCGCATGGGCCCCTCCCACATCGTGTCAGGCGACGACATTCAGATAACCATCACAACTGGCAACGAGGGCGGTTTCTTCAAGACAGAGCGGACGCCCACCGGTGGTGTAATGTCTGTGGCTAAGCTCATTGACAAGGCACAGGACTTTAATCTGTCTGTTGAGATGAGTTTGCGCCGCTATGGCTCAGTGACCACATACCTGGCTAAAGTGCTGGTGTTTGTTACCCAGGACGAGCAAAGAGTAACTTATAATGCCCTACTAGAATAA